CACAGTGATTGCTACAAACAAGAAATACGAGTTCCACAAGTCTAGATGAGTAAGTCACTTTCAGGAAACATATTTTTCTTAGGTTTTGCAAGATTAGTCTCATCTGAGTCCTCTCTTCCCCTGCCGTGCTTTTCCCTTTCTTCATTCTTTTGCAGATAGAGCCCATTTTCAGTTCCCGAATCTACTACTGTAATCAAGAAAAATAAGTTTGGTGCCTTTAAGTAAAACCATCACTTTTTTGAAGATTATTTTTATGGATGTAATCTTAGCAGTAAACGTCATTGAGCCCTTCTTACTTTCTCTTCTGAGATTTAGATTTGATAATCATAAATTTGGCATCTAGCACACACATTTTGGAAACTGAAGATTACCTATCCACTGATTTTCCTCGAAACAAAAATTTCAGGGCTTTTTATTTTTCTTGTAATTTTAGTATATTATTTAGTAGGAAAAGGGGAAAGCTGCTACTTCTTCCCATCATTTTACTAGATTTAATCTATGCATTAAGCAGTGCTAATTACATGTATAATATAGTAGTCAATAGGTTTTCAAAATCTATAACTTTAATGAGATTAATTATTGTATATTTCTCACCACATATAAAGGCACATGTAAACGTTTATTTTCAAAGGTTAAGGCTAACCAAAATTTTTGCCACTTAGAAAATAACCATTGTTCTCTTAAACTGCAAGAAATTTGACTTTCTTTTCAAATCTCTCTTTCTCTTTTTAGATTCAAAATTTCATAAGGACTGGCTATTTCAGACCCTAATAAACCGTTTTCCTCTACCCTTTATCTTTTTGCTGTCTATAATTTAATTTTTAAGTATTTCTTCTTTAGGCTTGAAATTTATTATGTCATTAGCATAACATCTTTTTTGTGACAAATGACTATTATTACACTATAAGCCTTACAAGGGCATAGTTAGTAATTTTCTTTATTGTGGTATTTCTACAGCCTAACATAATACCTGATCACAGGAGTGCTCATTAAATATGTATTCTATAAATACAGGAATGATGCTTCATTAACTACTATCTAGCACACATGCAGTATTTATTCAAAGATAGAATTTGAATATTTCTAATTCCAGACATATTGCAGTGAGAATTTATTTTCAACTAAGTAAATTGAAACTGGCAGCATTTAATCAATTGGACACACTGTAACACTAATACAGATGTAGAAAGGGAAGGGAGCATAAAAGGGAGAGAATGCTCTAATCCTATAAATCCAAATGGCAATCCATGTCCTCCACCAGGAGATGGGATGTGTCTTAGCAACTTTCCTCATCAGTGGGACACAATATCAGACACCCACAGTTTAAAGAAGGAAATGTTTATTTTGGTTCACAGTTTTAGTCCATAGTCTGACTGAGGCAGGAGATTAGGGCATGGTAAACTGGCTGGGGAAGTGAGTGTAATCTCTTAAGTACAAAACTCCAGGACATGTGCACAGAACAGTTCCCGAAGTCCTGCGCGTGGAACCAGAGAGCTACCTCCAATTCTTCTAACAAGACCTCCACCTTTTGATAGAACATCTTCAATCTGACATCAGCCTGAGAAGTGGGACATACAAAAAGATGGCCACCATTGAGTTCAGATCACTGTGTTCTCTATTTTTATAGTAGTCCACTCTTACCCTCTAGGGTGTACTTTTTTAACACTTAATTGGCCTGCACTCTCTCTGTAGAGCAAATTTCTTTTCCTACTTTTAATAAACATAAAACCTCACGTTCTTTTGCACTTGTCTCAACAAATTCTTTTTTCAGGAGAGAAAGAACCTAGAAAACACCTCTAGAAGGAGACCCAGAAACCCAGAAGCTACTAATATGCTCAGTCAAGGCAGGAAGGCATGACCGAAAGGCCTAGCCTGAGGAAACCTGCTCACTTCATGGTGACCAGGAAGTAGAAACCCAAGAAGGGACCCAGAGAAGCAGATAGGCCCTTCTAGGTCCCCCTGTAACCTGCCTCTTTTGACCAAGCCCCACTGAATAATAGCACATTTAGCTCTAGTGCTCCCAAGATTCAATCCCCCTTCCAACATCCCCCTACAAGCACAAGAAGTTTTGGATGCACATCTAGATATAAATCATTACAGGATGCCATTTTATCTTTTATTATTTTGTTGTGTCTCTGATGGGCTCAGTAGTTGTGGTAAACTGGAGTGAGAAGATAGTTTTGCTATGTTTTAAATGTCATACTTGTTATCTTTTTTTTTTGGTTATGAGGGATGAAACTCGGTACCTTGTGCTTGCAAGGCAGGCGGCGGCACCACTGAGCTAAATCCCTGGTCCTTAAATGTCATACTTTCTCTTTGCTTGGCTTTAAGGTATTTCAATTTGTATTCTTTTACTGACCATCTTCCAACCATAAAAGGAGACCATATAGATATTACTACTAAAATATTATAATAAAATGTGGGAAGAAAATACTAAAATTTCTCAAAGGCAAATTATAAAGAAAAGGATGAGGGATATCCTAATCAGATGTGAAAAAGTTTGAGATTTAATTAATTCTTGATAACGATCCTGTAACCAGGCTGGGACTGAGGTTCCCCAGGGCTGAAATAAAGACCTTAAACCACCATTTTTGTACAATAAGTTTGTGGGTTTGTAACTCTTGTCCTGGAAAAAGAATTTTCAGGACTGATCTGTAACAGGCAAAAGAAGGATTTATTGGATAGAGATATAGGATGCACTCCATAGTGTAGTGCAGGTGCTTAGAGAAATGAGACACATTATAGTTGGGGACTGAGAATCTTTATGAGTTTGAGTGAAAGAAATTTGTGAAATTTGATAATCTATGGTCTTATTCTTTCTAGTGGGTAGCAGAGGATGGCTCACTCATCCTAAAATAATTGTCCACTATATGAGAAATCTTAACTTATAGGTGAAAAAAGGTGATCTATTCACAGGTGAAGGAAGACCATTTGCAGGTAAAAGGAAATGGGCAAAGGTGAAAGGGAATTGCCCAGGTTTACTATGCTTTGGGAGAAGAGAAGAGAAAAAATAGTAATGAACTGGGCTTGTGTCCTGCAGCTACAGTTCTTAAAAGTACAATTTTTAAAATCTTGATTTCCTTGTTTCCTTTCTATCTAGTTTGTATTTCTTCTATCCTACTTCAATCCCTACCTAAGCACTAACAAGCATTTGTAATATTTACTGTTCAATTATAATACAAGGTTAAAGCTCTAAATGAATTGTAGTTATTTGCCAATCACTTATCTCTATGCCCTTTGAAAGAACAGCAGTTGCTGAGTTTACATGGTGCATCTCTGGGCATCTGGATACCACAGCATATGCCTTTCTGAGCTATAGTGCACTAGAAGAGTTGAATATCTGTTGGTCCCTTAACAAGGAGGCACTTCTGTTATTTGGATTGTTAGGGAGATGAGAAATCAAATATTTCCATTTGAAAATATAATCAAAAGGAAAGATTCTAGCAAATTTGAAATACTCTGATGATCATAAAGCACTTTACAACTAACATTTAACTTTATTTTTTAACATGGAGGTATACAAGATGATGTATAAGGTTCTCATTAATATTTGTGTGTGCCTTTTTGCATTAAAATGTTTTTCCATACTACATTTAAAATTTAGAGTGAACTTATTTTAGCGAGTGCATTTGTTACACAATATATTTATATAAAATAAAATGCTAAATTATTTCTTCTACAGTCTAAGATCCTTTAGGCTTTTATAAACCTGACTCTTCAGTAAATGAAACATTATTTCTTCTTTTTAAGCAACACACACACACACACACACACAAGAATCAAAACAAAATCAGAATCTCTTTCCTACTAGGGCTCTGACATGGAGTAAATCAATCACTTTAGGTATTTTTTGAGGAGAGTTTTAGTAGACTTCTTTTTCCAGCTCTGTCTTTTAGACACATATTCTACTGCTATCTTTTATCTCTGGACTACCACGTGAAGACTATGAAGAAAATTATGGTTCATGGAAACCGGTCAATTCTCCCATTGTTTTTATGTTTACTGAATGCGTGAATTCATTCTAGATCTTATTGTACAGGGCAGTAAATATAGTTCGTATTTGCATTGGAATCTTTGTAGCTTGCAAATATACTTGATTGATCTACAATCCAGTAAAGCAAACCAAAATCTACAATAGGAAAGCTGGGCCAACCCTAGGAAAATGTGGGCAAGGGTGTGTGTTGAGGGGGGTGTGAAAAACACTGTAACGAAGAGACTGAGAAATATTTCTATTAAATGTGTATTATGATGTGTGCCCTACTTTTTTAAATGTTGAGTACTGGGAAGCAGAGAACTAAGACGGAAGGTAGTGGACTGTAGCTCTGTCCTTCACACTTAACAACCATCCTAGACCAGAGAATGTAGTCTGAGGTTATACGGTCCACCTCCCCTATTTTTATTTCCTTAAGAGTTCAACCCTCTGGCAAACAAACATCACCACCTCTGCCCAGGCAGCAGCTCCAAGGGGCAGGCGAAGCTTGCCTGCGTTGAGCACCCTGCTGGCGCCTTCTGGTCGGACAACCGGCGCCAAAGAGCGCTCAGGGAAACACACAGCTAATGGGGAACTACACAGATGTCATGGATGCACACGCATGATCACAATCTGACCGGAAAGGAGGGAAACGCGGGATGACAGCCTGCCGATGTGGGTCTCGAAGCGGCTGCAGCGGAGCGGGCGGCGGTGTGGGCGCGCACAGGTGCAGCCGGCCGGTGGCGTGGAGAGCTGTCCGCAGCTTCCGGAGCTCAGACTCACGCGCTGAAGCCGCAGCTGCGGCCGAGGCTGGGTAACCCCCAGCCTGAGCCACGGAGGAAGAACCCAAGGAAAGGGCGCGAAGGGGGAAGCTGGGTAGGAGGAGCACAGGGAAGAGACCTATCTCCTCATCCTCGCTTTCTCTTCTCCGAGCTCTGCGGGTGGGAACCTTTCCTGGGCTCATAGGCGCCTCCCTCCTCCCCTCCTAACTCCGGATGATCATCTCCCGCTCTCCCCTCCCTCATCCCCTCCCTCCTTTCTCTGCCCTCCCTCCCTACCGCGTGCCTTCTCCCCTCCCCCCTCGCCGCCCTCCTCTCCAGCGGCTGTAGCAGTAGCCGCTTCGGTGGAGACGGAGATGGGCAGAGAGCGCGCTCGGCGCAGCAGCTCCGGATCCGCCGCTCTCCCCGCCCTCTGCTCCCTGTGCCCCCGCCGCCGCCGCTGTCGCTGCCTTGGTGTCCCCCCACTCCAGTCCCGCTCCTAGGACAGCGCCGCCGCCGACGCCGCTGCCGCCGCCTGGCCCTGCCTGCCGCCTGCGCCGCGCAGCCCTCGCGCGCGCCCCGGTGGCTCTTTCCCCCCAGGACCGGTGAGTAGCCCGTAGCGCGCAGGGTGTAGGGCGCCGAGGCTGGGCGCAGAGAGAACATGTGTAGGTTTGCGAGGCAACCCGAACCACCTGCTGTGATTCCCCAGTCCGGGCGGAGGGTCTCCAGAGGGTGCTCCTCTGTGGTCCCTGAAGGGATGTTGGTTTCAAGTCCACCTGCCGGCAACCTGAACCCTTTCCCTCCTAGGGAGAGCTGCTTGCGGCTCTTGGCTGCGTCTTACCTTCCAGCTCCAGAGACACCACACTAGCATCAGTGCCTGGCCGGATCCTCGCGTCGCTTCAAACAGGGTCATCTTTCCCCTCAATCGCCCCTTGTCTCAGCTTTCTGACTTCTCCCTTTTGCCACCATACATGCACCCCCGTGTGCAGCCCCTCACCCGTTCTCGCGGGGATAAAGCCTCTCCACAAAGTCCGCCTGGACCTGCCTCCGCTCCTTTGCCACAGCCTGGCTCCACAGCCCCACTATCCCGCCGGATTGGTTCCCAGAGTGAGTAGTCCTCTCAGTGATTTCTGACCTCATTCCCTCCACACGATGCTGCCTCTCAGCTCCTCTGACAGCCACCTCGGGAAACTGACACCTACACGTGGTGGTCGTGCCTTCTACACAGTAGTGTTTTCCCAGCACCTGGGCTGTTTGGGAGTGATCAACAATGGAACAAAAAAGAAAAAATAACGAAGCTTTTAGGACTAAACTTTTTGTTACTGTTGTCTTGAAGCACACAACTAGTTACCCTGCTTAGGTTCCTTCTACAGGCCTTTAGCTGATTACAGGGTACGCCCCTATTTTTACCTGTTCCATCTGGTATGGGTCTTCTTTTCAAGTTAAAAACAGAGCATCTGACTGGGAGGTGAATCTCTTTCTGCAACTCCACTATGAAAAGCTCAGCAACTCTTGAGGATAAGAAGCTTTTTCTTGAAGGAGAAGAGGGTAGCACCAAACTTACCCTTTAAAATCTTTTTTGAAAATTCAATAAGCCAAAGGTCTTATTTTTTTCTTTAGGTTTAGTGGCTAAGAGAGGGATATAAAAGGATTAGAAAACGTTGTACCAAGAAGCTCCTGCACTATCTGGGTGCGTTGGGTGTTGTGTAGCATCTTATTATCCAGACAGTATTTCTGTAGAAGTTTTCTTCTATAGCCCTTTCTTCTGAAATCAGCCTTAGAGTCTTACTATTTCTACTTGTATTTAATGAATGAGTACAACAAACTGGGTGAGGAAATGGGTAAGAGGTGAGATAATTTAAATGTTAAAATGTGTGCTCCCAATTCTTCATGTATTTAAATTTGAAAAACTACTACCCTTACAAAACTTATGATTTATATTTTTAAAAGAAGTTAAGAGAAAATATTAATTTAACATGACATTTTACTCTGTTGAATTCTTGGTCTTATGACTTATGTTCCATGAATACAGATGAGAGTATTCAGAAATAAATGTTAGAAACTTCAAAAGATGTCCCCCATTTCAGTATGGAGTGTATGAATATAAATTTCTTGACATTATTATAAATAATTTCAGGGGACTAAGAATTAAATTGTCATTCTTGCTCTTTCAGTTGGTATGAAAGATGTGTTTCTTCACCTTAGAGAAGCAAGTCTCTGCCCACACAAGAATAAAAGAGAAAGTTGAGCAACCGTTTTGGGAATTTGTTTAATGAGGATGACTTTAAAAATTTCACTCTAATGTCAGGAATTTTTAATTTGTTTTATTTTAGCCCAAAGTATACCTGAGTTTTATTTATCTTTTTTAATGTAGACATAGGTAAAAATGCAGTGATTGGTGGTTTTAAGTAAATGTGGACAGCTGCATCAAAAGTCAGGAGGTGCTAAGAATAATGATTTTATTGTTGGTTCTCTAAATTTGGAAATTTTGGTTACCTTTAGTGTTTGACTAGAAGAACATTTAAATCTATATATTTAATTATGGCAAATGCTCATGTATGGCCATGCCATGTGAATAGAAGGTGAGCTAGGAGGTGAATTGGATGATCATTTAAGTTTTTCTTTACATACATTTACCCAAAGTGTAATTTACACTTTGGGTAAATGTATATGTCCAACAATAATAAATATGTATTGAAAAAAGGTACATACCAATTGAAAACAAAAGAAAGCAAAACTCACTAATCTGTTATTGCTCATAATGGTGATAATGATCAGTTCAAAGTAGTCTGTTATAATTCTATCTAATGTCAAATACTGCAATGATTTCATAATTATCTATGAAAATACAAATTAATGTCCCATAAATTATGGCAGGAATTTCTGGTTAGCATTCTCAGTAAACTAAAACTCATGATCTTTCAGGATTTGATGTCATTGTCATCAACAGGGCTATGCAAAGCAGTTAAATATAATATGTCATGAGACAGACATGTCTTGGAATGGCATATCTTTGAATACCATTAAAATGTATCTCCCAAAGCTCATAGTTACATGCAACCTAGAGGGTAGATGCCAAATCAAATGTTTGCCTTGGTAAAGAGAAATTTTAAATTGTGGAAATAATATAAATAATTTCCTCAACATGTTACCATTAGTTGAATCTTCCATGTAAAACAGTATTTCCTGCTCTATGTGGTGAAGAAAGAGAAAAACCGTGGAAGAGAAAATAGCCAGAAGGGAGAAATAGAGGGGGAAGAATAAAACCTATGAATACTTACTTAAATTTTTTAATCAAATAAAAGTAATTACATACAATTTCTATTATTTAGGTATTTGGGATAACAGCTGTTTTCCAATCTGAATTTCAGGAAATGCCTGGATAATTACAACAGTCATATTGTAACTCTAATCTTATAAATTGGTTCATTGATATTTATTCAGTAAACTCTGAAGATCATAGGCAAAGTATTTTATAAAATCTAATTGTCTAATTGAACTGAATAAAATTCTAGACAAATTTTAAAACAAAACTTTGAAAGAGAGCACATATACTCCTATTTAAAATGACAATATTGGACTATTGGCAAGATTGGATGTATTATTCAATTTTATGGCTATTTTTATTTACAAATTCACAAGAATCTACATATTACAGTATAAAATATAAATTTTATGAATTCAGAACAATCCTCAAATTTGCACGCATATATCAAATCATCACATGAATTTTCATATGGTTTTTCTTTCTATCTTCAGTCTATAAGGAATAGTTAGTAAAAAGCATTGTCATAGAGCAAACATGCAAATGAATATTTCTGATTTAACATTATGATTTGACCAAAGTTTCACAACAATGCCATCAAAGTCATATTCTCATGAATCTGTTCTAATGTATAATTAAAATTCTTACAAAAAGAAACATTTAAATTCTGTAATTTTATATATGACTACATGAAATATATTCTATTTAGCTGAAAATGGACTACCTGGCATTCTTAACAGAAGAAATGTAGAATTTAGAGAATATTAGAGATTCTAAAGAAGATTCCATTTCCTTCATTGTATTAGTAACTTGCCCAAGGTTGCTTAGTGGGTAATAGAAATAAAATTAGACTCCAAGTCTGACTCCATTCTGCATCTATCATTCTATAAATTAAAAACAAGCCTTCCCTCCATTTTATTTTGTCCAAGTAATAAGGGAGACATCAGTTTCAGTATTAAGGAAAATGTAAAATGAATAAAATAAAACTGCACTTCTTCATGTACCATCTCAATGTTTGATCTTATAACCCTGACAGTTGAAAGTGACCACTCTTGCTTCTCACTCTTTCTATTTGTAGATTAAAGTGTGGGAAATATTTTTAAAATTACACTGATCCACCTAAAATATTTTAGTCTTATTTTATAAATTTCACTATGAATTGTTTATTCATTTACTGCAATTTTCTTTCCCAGTAATGATATGCTGTGGACATTTCTAGTTTAGTTTTATAAACAGTTGACTGAAAAACATACCAGAAACAAATGTTGCTTTCTATAAGCCAATAGTGATAATGAACTCACAGTTCCTTCTATATGCTTACTAAATCTTTATGTCACCAGCAAAAAAGTTTGTGCATCCACGTGTTTTGTTTTTTTTTTTAATTTTTGTCTCCACGCACTTGTGGGGGCTTGAGTAGCCAGGGATGATAAATTTATTTTACAGTTCCAAGTCTACAGTTGAAAGTACTGGAACTTTTAGTTTCCTCTTCACCATGGCCAGAGGGATCAATGCAAGTGAATAACTAAATCAATGAGAACCTGTCATCACTACAGGGTAAAGAAAAAATAAAATTTCAGCTGTATTCTTGGTGATAGTGGCTCATCAATGTCACCTCATCTAGGAAAAATAATTTGGTAATTATGTTGATGATGCAGTTACATTATTTGGATGAAAACTGTATTATGTAAGCGTGGCTGGGTTGATGGAAGTTAAGGAAATTGCTGATCTTAAATTGTTTGGTGGCTGGCTAAGAGATGAGGAAGAAACCTTGTTTTAAGTTTTCTTGTTGAAGGAATTGGCCTTCTTTCAACTCATTAAGATGCAGATTTATCTGAAAGGAGAACTAAGGCTTCCGCGACCTAATTTCTCTAGTGTTAATTCAGCCTCCATGTTGATATCTCACCACATGGTAAGAAATTAAGTCATGACTGTAGAAACTTGAATAAATATTACACAGGCTCTTACCTCAAACATCTTACAGTTTAACTGGAGGCAAATGACAAATTAAAAGGAGCATTGAGACACCAGACTCATTTAAACCATTACAGCCACAATGCTACTGAATAAGGATGCCCAGAGAAAAACAAAAAAAGACCACAATTTACTCAAAATAGGCCTTGTGTAAAACAGATAGAATTATGTCATTGTTATGGCTTTTCAGTAAAATAATCTATTTTCTAAAAAAATTGTATGTTTCTGCTTGTTCCTGTATTGATTCTATCTCCAACAAAAATATTTTGACAAGGTAAAAAGCTATTCTTATACATAATAGTATGAACTAATATATATAATCTCATAGTAATGAATAAGGTAATTTTATAAAGGAAATGTAACTCACTA